CGTTGCTCATTTAAGTGGGCGTGAAAAATATCGAAATCTTAGATCATATGTGAGTGGAATGTGACGAATTCAGGGAAATGATTGTTTGAGTGCTACTATTATAATTATAATTAGCTAGATTAATATGAGTTGTGTTTTTAAAATCAGTTTGATTAATGGATATGCAGGATTATATAGCAGCTATCAATTAAAATATATCGATTTAGTACTATTAAATTTTATTCCTTTATCTAAATACTACCAAAAATAACCTTGCCTAATGTTGAACTAAACAAGTTAAACCTTTTCAGCATTATTGTGAATGTACCAACATATAAGAAGAAAAATAGTTTTTGTATTTATACTTCTTTCTATTATTTAAGTATTGAATAAACCTTTAGTCCGTACACTCATTGTTTTACTTTCGTTTCTAACACTTAAAGCTCAAAATATGATTCGATTTGATACCTGGTAGAGGTATTGGATCTGATTCTGATTATCTCATTGAGTTAAAGACTTAAAATCGATTTGAATTCAATAAAACCCTGTGAAGGTATACAAACAGATAATATATGCAGTTCTATTTCTTCATGATCTCTGACTATGAGCAGAACATTATCTCTGAAGATGCAAGTGTCGGTTAGTGTACTGAGCGTGTCTAGTTAAGGAGCAGTGATTAATCTGGAATACTAACAGCTAAGAAAGCTTTTGGTATTTTTGTTGTCAGCATAAATTACCAGTCTGTGTTGGTTTGCCTTCGAGTTGTTCGTGAGTAAGGTTTCAAGTTGAATACAACGACTAGTGTTTCCACTAGCTAATTGAGATATAGGAGCCATGTAGCTTTGGACCAACTTAATTATAGTGGTCCAAGATTGCAGAGTTTTTATAGCTGATTCTAAAACTAATGGATTACTTTGCATGATTAGATGGGACATGGTTAGATTCGTTTGTTTATTCTAGTTCGTAAATATATATACATACTTATATATATAATAGCATTCATTGAATGCTAATATATTAAAATAAATTGTATTTAAAAAATCTTAATCAATATTTGCAGGGCACAAACATACACAGAATTTAATAAATTCAATAAACTAAAATGAAATAAAACAAATAAAATTGTTAATTTTTCATTAAACATGTACACAATACGACCAGAAAATTAACGCCCGCCTAACCACAAATTTAAACCGCAATCATATGCCTTCAACGATAGAGAATAAAACGGGGGTGTTGGAACAGAAACAGTTACTGTTTGCAACATTTTTAATCTGCAATTAACCTCAACTGCTTTTGGTGCACAAATAAACAATCGAACAGATACATTCTCGAACAGATGGACAAACAGAGAGGCGAAGAGACAGACAGACCAAAATAAAGGCAAACAATTATCCACTGCGCTCCAGTTGCTGCTGCAATATTGATTCTATTAATTATAAAAACATTAAACGGATTTCTGCCACCAAATTGCGGTGGCACAAGTCCTCGACCATAGAAGCTTCGTGGCACTTCATGCCACTTCAATCGATTTATAATGAATCTGAACATTCTGGTAATGTAATTTAAATGCATTAAACAATTGTTGCAATAAAAATGCCAATGAATTCATTTAAGTAGTTGCAGTTAACCATGGGATCATGCCATTAGCCAGCCACCTTCAATGCGGAGGATTGTACATGTCAGCAGAGTTGGCAGAGTTGGCAGCGCCTGATGACCGAACGATAAGCACGCGTGCAATTGATTTCATTTGTTTCTATTATTTTTTCGCATTAAAAAACTCGCTTAAAAAAAAAATTATTTACTGACTGCGTCGGTGCTCCTGACACTCCTGGCTTGTCCTGGCTTGTCCTGGCCAGAACGTGTTAACGACAAAATTATTGGCCAAATTGCAAGCGTTTAATTTAATTTTTTTTTTTTATAATTTTAAATTTTAATTTCATGCAAATGTGCATGCATTGTTTGCATAATCGCGCCAATAAGTCAACAAAGAAGGGCTTCTAATCAGCTTATGTGGAACTGCAGTGCCAAATCCGATGCCAAATTCCATTCCAATTATTACTAAATTAATCTAAATTTATTTAGAAATTTATTTTTATTTATTTAAATGCCGAAAATTGTCACGATGACGACAGCGGCGTTAATGAGTTTTATCTGTTGGCTCTAAAGTGGCAATTGCCGTTCACGCAGCTTCCACATACATGGATGTGGAAAATGAGAAACTGTGGCAACATTTTGAATAAATTATTTTCGAATTATTATGCAAATAACAATTTAAGTTTTCATTATTGCGACTGCTATTACTGTTGTTGATAAAGATTTATTTATCTTATGTGTAGCATTCATAATTGAAGGTGTTGCTCCATTAAAACATAATATTATAATTATAATTCACTTAATGAATAATTCAATAGGTCTCCAGCTATTTAGGCATGAACAATGGGTTTATAACAAATATATCAGCTTTGGCTTATAAGAGAAAAGTATTTCTGAAATGTACGGAGTATCAAATTCGATCATATAATAGAGATTGAGATAAAATGCAAAAAATCTCAGCATCTGGTATTACTAATGCAATTGAAAATCAATCAAGTAACATAACAAGAACTTACATGGGCATCGCATACTAGGGTGGTTAGAAGAGGCAGGTCAAGCAAAAAATGTTTGAATAATTTAGTAGATATCCAAAATAAAATAGTTGTAGAAAATTAGAAGACGTCGCATCGGCTCAAATATATATAAGGGCTCAAAGATATTTACGCAACAAGGTAAAAGGCACCAACTTTTAAATACTCTTTTTAATTCCTAAGCAAATAAATGAGTGTCAGACAAATTTTCTTAGAATATTTATACTTTACATTATAATTATGTCAAACTTTGCTTCAAATATTTTTCTTTAATACACAATAATCTATCAACAAAGTTAAAGCCTAGTGTGGGGTAGAGATAAGCCCCCCAGCCATTAAAGAGTAAAAGTGCGTAATAGCACTAACTCAAGAAGAAGAAGAATCAAGAATCAAGAAAGTTCAAATTAAATTTCTACCGCAATTGTCAAATTTTTACAAGTCTATAATTAAATTTTAATTTTTTTGAAATTATTATCGTTTTATTGACAGCAGTTGCTAATACCAAAGTTCTCACAAGCCTTAAGTGCTGATTTACTTAATACACTTCTTACCCCATTCTGATATTATCGAGCTACAACTCACTTGATTTTATTTTATTATCTTCATTATTGCTAAGACAGCGAGAAACGAATTCTCTACAAATTAAAAATCTATGAAACTCTTTCAAAGACTGCCAAAAGCCCTTCCCACTCCAAATGCTCGACAAGTGTTACACTAGCACTTCAGCAGTTTTAATTGACACCTCGTCTGCACTCTCATACTCATCCACAACCAAATCGCTCTACAGAGTTGCCATTAATACATATACTTTCGACGTTGTAGAGTTCCATTCATGGCATTCGTGGCCTTGCTCACTTCGAATATTCAACTTCCTGCATAAGTTATGAGTACAAAAATTAATCCTTTTTGCTTAACGCTAAGACATCGCAGTCGAGCAATCAAAAGTTTGTTGCTGCAAATTGTACTTTGCAATTTTCAGTATCTATGCTGGCATAGATACTTTTACTTTTCTTGCTTTTAATCGAATACATGTGCTGCTAATAATTGACTTTGTTGACTTTAAACGGCAAATTGAAATTTCATGTTCTTATGTTTCATATCAGCATCGGTTCATCCTTCATATCCTTCAGCAATATTCGTATAAGTAAATTTTAATATACGAATGGTATAATTTCTTGAGTACAAATGCCTAGATGCCTCAGAGGCACTTACTAACAAATAAAATTAAATATGAAAAAGGATCTTATTTTCATTCCACCCACAATCACACAAGAACATACAGGAATTTTTAATACGAGTAGCAAATTGAATACTATTTTATATGAATCATTTTTATTCTGTCCAAGAAGTTGCTAAGATACTACTTGCCATTTTTGTCAAATGGTCAACAAATTGTATTTTATTACAATATAAGGATATTTTTTTTATTTTGTATGTGATTCAGTTTTTATCTCACAGCATTAGCAAGTGTCATTTAAAAGAGAAAGATTTGGGGACTACAGTTATAATTGTGTCATTCCAATAATAAAAAAAGCATTTCAGTTAAAGAATTTATTAAATTCTTTATAAAGAGCCGACGATGTCTTCTTAATTCTCCTTCAAATGATTTCTCTAAAGTAAAAAATCTGCTACGAAATGGTCACTCGAAAATTGTCATGGGTGGGCAACTTGACAATAGATTTACATGTTAAGAGCAATGAATTTATTACAGAGTGTAAGTGAAACTGTTTTGCTATTTTTATAATTGGTCATATAATCTGATGGAAAATTATCTGATATTTTATTTTTAAATATTGTTGAGACTTTTAAGAAAGATTCAGATGTGTTCTTTGTTAAATGTCACTAAACTATTCATTTGCTTCTTTGCGTTCATTTTGTTTCCTCCTTTGTTTCTCTTTTTGGCGTGAATAATCATTCATTCAAAATCCATAATTTTAATTAATATTTCTATAAATTCCTACGAACAATGTATGGCATAAGTTAAGATTCCTACACTTGAAAGATTTTAAAATTAGAATTCATTGGTACTCAAATCACTTCGCAAGGTAAAAAAAAATTTCCTAAACTTTTTAAATCAGTAATTGAAACAAGTGAATTTGATTTCATTGCAGAATTTCATCTCGATCTGATTGCTTGATAGGCAAATATTGTGGGATATGCTTTAAGTCAGTAATTAAAAATGTTCCGAATGTTTAGAAACACAAATACTTAGGGTACCTATAATCAGTGTATATAAGGTACTAAAACATCGTAGTGTATTTATTGAGAAATAACATGACCTAACAAATGGAAGAAAACCTAACAGTAGAATATTTGTCTCATTATCCAGTCTTTGTATAGTTTGTTGACGTTTTTTTTTTAAATGTAGAATCTAAGAAAACAAAATATTTATTTTTATACATTCATTTTTACTTTTGTGGCATTCTTGACAACCAAAGTTGCCCACACATTATCTATTCTATTTACTCCATCCAATAGATTGGCAATCAAATCATAAGGAAACATTTTTTCGCAGAAAGGAATTTCGGCACCTGAAGGTGGGAGGAGGAAAAATAGTTTACAGTTAATATATTTCAGCATAAATTGTTGGCATGACATCAGCTGATTGTAAGAGCACGGCACAGACAGTGCTCGTCGCTGGCATCCGTAATAATGAGCATGAGTTGCAGTAACTGCTAAATATGATTTGTGATGTGTAACTTTGCCGACAACACAACATTTACGAGATTTCAAAATATTTACTAAATATTTTCCAATTTACTTTAACGCTTCATTTGCAGTATTCCTAGAAGCCGACACTTTCATTTGTTGCAACGGTGTAAGTTATTCGGTGTTGGAAAAAGTTTTGCAAATCTGCAGTTAAAAACTTTTAGAGTTAAGACGTGTTTGCAATCAGTTTGATTAAAGTACATGAAAAAGATGAACTTCAACAGCGCCCTTTGCTTACAGAACACTTTTTATTGCATGAAGATTTACATTACGAATAATTACAGGCACACATCCATTAAGGTCTCGTGTAAATAAATGTGTTGGCTCCACCTTTAGGCAATAGCAGCACCAAAATTAATTGATCCCAAATGTCTCATTTAAACTTAACGGGCAGTGAGAGGGCAATGGTTGCGGCTACACTTCATAATTTAAAATACCAACACAACGTAGCCGCAACTGCCAGTTCACAATCAACCGCACATAAGGTCACAAATGCATCTTGTCCTTCCTAATGGCCAGAAATACATTTAAGTTCATAAAGAACGAGTCCCGCCACTGTTCCCGTTTTTGATGCTGCTGCTGCTTATAAAGCAATTATCCGCATGCGGCTACTGACCAGCGGTCGGAAGTGATACATTCGACTGCAAGCACATAAGCCAAGTGGATGAGTACATCGGCAAAGGATGCGCATCTATTTTAATGGCCATTTTCATAACTAACAAATTTAAAATAAAATTCACAAAAATTCAGAAATTCATATGCACAGATATGCAAATTGGAAAAAAATCGTCTGTTAAGGGAAGAGATAAAAAATAAATAAAAGCACTGAAAGTATCTAAAAACTAAGATTTTTATTTAATAAAATTATCAACTAAAGTGTCTAAAGTTTCTGCCACAGGCAGCTTAACAATTGAGTAAACAATTTAATTACTTTTACTTCTTAAGCCGTACGGGGTCGGACGTCACTGGGTTTGTGCAGTTGCGAAAGCCATAAAACTAAATGATATACAAACAATGATTTTGTATTTTGTTCTACGCCAACACTGTTATAAATACAAAAAGGATAATAGAACACCAGTACGAGTGTTTAAAATAAAAGAAAAATATTTTATATTAAGTTTTTGACTGACTATAACTCACGTATAATCGAGGAGGTCCTTGAATAGTAGGCAACAGTTTTCATTTGTACATTCGCACTTTTCAGATTGCACACATACCCATCCATTCCTGCTGATAATTTTCTGCATCCGACTGATAACATTTAATTTAATGCCCGAGGTCAGAAACATTCCATTTATTACTGGATTAAATTTGGGAAAAAAAAAATTTTTGGTTTCCTTTCTGTCAGTACTCCAATGTAGCAGAGATGTGCTAGCTGGATAAGAGCAGTGGCAGGGAGGAATAGCAGAGTGGGGCATGTGACTGCTGTACAGTATATATAAATTTGTAAATACATGCAATTCACTTTTTTTCTGCTTGAATACAAAATTCATCTCTTGGTGTTCATTTCTTCTTTTTAATGAAAATATGCATTTTTTCGGCAATCTATCTCAGTTAGTTATAAAGCCAACAGTGAGCGAACGAGCGAACAGTAAGGAATTCTTATACAGTCGCCTACTGTCAGTATGCAAAACATACATCGTAGTGTACTAAATCCTTGTATTTATAGTATTTGGTCATTTGCTGTCTGTCCAGTTGCTACTATTCCGGCTTGTGTTCATCTGTACATGGTCATCCGCCACCGCATTTTTCGTTAGTTCGAGCACTGACTAGACAGCACAGGAAATGTATTTTATGTTTTTTCCATACACGTTAGAACACTTGAAAATAGCTTCTTCTCACATCACAACCTCCACATTTAACCCAGCTCTCAGCTATTTGTTTAACGTATGACGACATGTTGCTTATGCCGCGAATGGATTTGGGGTTCGCTGTGAGTAGCAATGCAGAAATGGTTACAAAATGCCCATAAGGGATTAGCTGTAAATCGTCCGCTTTCAGTTTTGTTTATTTTCCACTTGTTTTTAAGTATTCCATTTTTTATTTGACTTGGTCGGTGTCACTTTTTTCATCTGAAATTTGTTACAAAACTCATTTAAGCGCTGCTTTATGTGAAATATGTAAATTGTTTTAGATGATTTTTTTAGTTGATGGTAGCACAAGCGACTGGGATCTGACATTCACTAACAAGTGTTTTTTATATTTTTTATTTGGAGTTTATATAGGAGAAGATTTAATGTGATTTTTATGATTCTATAATTGTTTTAAACGAAACAATTTAAAACGGCTTAAAAATGTGATTTGTATATGAGAAGAAAGCTAACCAGATAATGGTTGTTTTTCATTCATTAAGTTGATTTATTTATTTACAACAGATTTTTAGGAAATCATTATGTAGTTATTTGAAATCAAGAGCATAGAATAAATACTTAAGTCCTCAAAAACATCAACCATTACGGGAAATGAAATAAATGATACTCAGAGAATATTGGATTAAACTTGAGAAGGGTAAATCTTTATTATTGCATCATTAATCACTTTTATTTATCAACTGAAGCCACTATTCTGTGTATAGAGTCTACAACTAACTTAAGTTAGTTAATAAATAACATCCCAAATACATCCTGCAATAATCTAGTGAATATTTTCAATATATAATTCCTTGATTTTTGATAATATGACTTTAGTTCACTTAATATTAAGATTATTATAATTTTTTTACTTCTCGCTCTTCTTAAAAAATAGATTGGTCTTAGTACTTTTATATTAAAAGAAGTACTTATAAGTTGCATTTTCAATAAATATATAAATATATATAATTCTTTTTGCAAATATCTCAACAATAACAAATAAAACTACACTGCGTACTTTGACCACCGGTTTTCGTGACCCAACTATGGATTACATATAGTATCCTGAAGTTTTAAGAAATAAATACCCCAGATACATTACAGATATGCAGCCCACTCTTCGAAAAAGATGTTTTTGTAAGGTTTTTGAACGCAATTAAATATATAGAAAACAACAATATTCATTAGATCACTAATGGCAAGGCGTTTTGAACTGTTGTACGTATTATATTATTTAATTTTAAGACTTCAATTTATCTGTGATTAAACCTGGCAAATAAATGTATCTATATTGTGTTATCATAAGTATAGTTTAATACTTATATATACATATATGTTGGTTAGCATATCTACTTTTTACTGTCGGGCTCAAAATCAATATAGATTTTTAGTTATTAAAATAAAATTTGTATAGTTACTTTAATTTTACTTCTTTAGACGTTATTTAAATAACCATCGAATCACAATTATAATAAGTTAACAAACTGAAATTAGTCAATAACTACTATATACAGACTTCCTCTATACTTTGGAAGGTTTCTATTCTAACAATTTCACTAGATTTCTTTTAAATTCCCCGAGTATAAAATAAAATCCCATACAAATAAATGCTTTAATTTTTTTTTTTTTTTTTTAAATATCTATTTTATTTATTGAATCTCTTTTATAAGAAGATTTACAATAAGTATTCAAATCTTAAAAAAACTAAAGCAAACAAATGAACTGACAATTATAACTGCAGTTCATTGATAATAATTAAAGTTGAAAATAATAAAAATAAATAAAATAAAATAAAATAAAAAATAAACAAAAAAGAAAAAAAAAAGTATATTAAATTGAAGTAAATTAAAGTTTAAATAAGGCTGATAATAAGTAAATATATAAAGATAGAAAAAGGAATCAGTGCGTTGGTACATCTTTTCTGCGTAATCTTGACGAAGGCCGCGTTAGCAATAGATTCCTTGCAAGGTGGTTCGGATGAATTTCAAGTTTTTGTTTGTACTTGCATTTGATTTTAGTGAGTTCATCTTTGATTAGTAGTATTTTCTGATCTTCATGAATTTTATCACTTCTTATATACCACGGAGCCCCAGTAATTATACGAAGGATTCTGGATTGAGTACGCTGAATTAACTCAATGTTGGAGGAACATGCATTACCCCATAGTTCAGCGCTATACTTCCAAATTGGCTTAAGTAAACTATTGTAGAGCAACACTTTGTGGTTTAGCCGTAACTTGGAATTTTTATGCAATAACCAGTGAATTTTTTGCGTCTTTAGTTTTATTTGCGTTCGCTTAGCTTCTAGATGTTTACGCCAAGTTAGTCTCCTATCCGAATGAACACCCAGATACGATACGGTGTTTGATTGCTGGATGGTGATGCCGTTGAAGGTTACTGGGGGACATGTGTCCTTACGTAGGGTAAATGTTACATGTGTGCTTTTACTTTCATTTACGCGAATGCGCCAGTTGGCTAACCATGTTTCAATGAGTTCGAGGTGTTCAATTAAGTCCCTAGATGCTATGAATCTATTTTGGTGAGAACTAAGGACAGCAGTGTCATCAGCAAACGTAGAAGTCACAAGACGAGAGTTGCTTGGTATATCCGAATTAAACAGGATATAAAAGTATTGGACCTAGAACACTGCCTTGAGGAACTCCAGCCTTTATGTCAAGATTAGCTGTTGTATGGCTTCCAACTTTTATATGGAATTTCCTGTCCTGAAGATATGACTCTAGTATTTTGTGAGTAAATGGTTTAATTAAAAGTTTTTTTAAATAGAATTTCTTATAGAACTATCGCAATGTGATTTTTTTAAATTTTATCATATTATCAATTTTATTATTTATTTATAATCTGAATATCTACAAATGAAACAAAATTACTAGCTGCTATCTTGAAGGATAATAAAATTTTCATAAAGCTCAGACAATTTTTTCTATTATTTTTAATTTATTAAAAAGGAAAAAT